TTACCAGGACATGCCTTTTCATTACTGTCACAAAGAGAGAAAGAGAGGGAAATAAATTGATATAGGAGCCATTCTCGCTTCCCCCGGGCTTGCTTACAGCCGCTTGACAGACCCGGGACATGCGAGCCACCACTTTCTCTCTATTTCACTCACACCAACCATGTTCCCTCAGCAGCCCTTGCAGCCAAACCAAATCCTCCACACAATTGATCCAATGGCACTTCGGTTTGGGCCGAAGCCTTCCAAGAAAAGTGTGTAAGAAGTTTTAAAGGGGACACATTCGAAAATACGTCTATTATTTTTACACTTTGCACAATCCTTTATTCTGTGACTCCTTTAAACCCCAAAACCAAGTCAAGAACACATACAAGCATTGATGGACAAAATGACGGACAGCTATACCACCGTTCACATCCTCTACCGGTGTGACTCGATGATCTACAGTCGGTGGCATGTTGCTGAATGCATCTCTGCGGTTGATTAGCGTGGTAATGAGTGCAGAGAGGCTTGAGGGACGTGCCGGGCAGCCGTGTGGCTTAAGTGATTGTGGTAATTGAGTGGATAGTGACAGCTTTGCAATGGCCTAATTAAGGCTCACTGGACTGGGGCCAAGATTTTACCGTCATAGTCACACTTTTAACAACCGAACCGAGATGGAAAATGGAGCTGAAATGCTAATAAAACCAAACCATCTGTTGTGAAGGCATGTCAGCGTATAAGCAAAGGAGTCTGGGATATGTTTTATACGACATAACACTGAAAGATTGTGCTAAAAAGCATTGCAAACAGCTGTGAAAACTTTATTTTTTACCTGAGGGACACATTAGTATTAGTATGTGTTACTATACCTTTAAGAGATGCACGATATCGCATCAGACCAATATCGGAATCGGCCAATAATGACTTTAAATATAAATATCGGCATCAGCCCGGTATGAAAAATGATGCTGATATGTCTTGCCGATAAGAGGAATACATTAACTCTCATGTGCTCAGGGTGTGCTAGTGATTAGATCACGTCAGCATTGTGGCTCATTCTTGGAGCAAAGTTTTGCATGAATGGTGATTAGATTCACTGTTTTGGATCGCTGCTTTTAAACTAAGAAAGCACGTACTGAATGACGCGTTCGGTGTATGATACAGTAAACAGTAATAGCACGTGCAGTGGCAGCAGCGGCAGCGCAAACAGCTGGGAAAATGTTACTTTTTTCCTGAGGGCCACTTATGTTACGTTTTGCTACTGTATCTTTGAGACCATATGCTAATGAATATCATTCTCATTGGCTAGACTCTCTGAATGTGAAATCGCTCCAGATTACTCACAGGATGTTTTTCGCGTCACTCACATGAATAAAAACATTGCGCATGCTTTCCTCCATTTTCTGATACAACCGGACATGTCAATAAGCTCTTTGCCGATTGGCTTGCGCGACAGCGCGTCATTCGAATGTCCCGCTTGAGATTGAGTTTTTCAACTTGCGCAGAAGACACGACTGAGATGAATATCACATGTTTGTGGCTATTGCGTCACAGAATTCACATCTTTCATGCTGGCCAGTGCGAATTCATGTGTATTCGCACCTTTGCATTGACTTTGTATGTTGTATCTACTCGTGCAAATAATTAAATTCACTTTTGGTGTATGCTAATGACCAACATTCTGATTGGCTAAGCTCTTTGAATGTAAAATGAGTAAAAGCACTGCCATCAAGTTCCTAAATACATAAAAGGTACTTACATAGCAGTCATATGTTAATTAGCTTACGTGATTTCTAAAAGGACAAAAATGTTTTTGTAGCTTAGCAAGCTGCTTTGACATCTTACATGCTAACTGAAGCATAACTTCATAATTGATTTAACACTCTTCATAGGATTTAACTCAAAATGGAGCGACTTATAGCCTATAAATATATATATATATACAGTATATATATATATATATACATATACCTGTATGTATGTGTATATGTATGTATATATATATATATGTATGTGTATGTGTATATATATAATAATGCACAGGGAGCGGGGCGAAAGAGTCTGTGACATTCTCTTCAATAATTCACCAGTCAGCGGGGGATGTATGGGCCCGCCTGTTTCTTTTTCCAAACATCACCCCATCGTCTTCTTTTCGAGAGGGTGCGATGAAGGGGGTGGAGGCGTCGGATGGTGGTCCGTTTATAAAGATGTCACACATCTCCCCTTTGGCCTATTCTTCATCTTGTAATCCTGTTTGAGAGTGTGATGCGCTTGTATGCGTTACAAGGTGCCCCATGTAAGTGTGTGAGTTGGAATTGAGATGACTGGGATGCACAAATGTGGAATTTTTGGGCCGATAATTTTACTTTTTAAAGTTTACCCATTCTAACTAGCTGAATAGGTAGTTAATTAAAAACGATTCCTAAAATTATCTGAGAATAAGATCAGGATTGAACTTTTGTTGTTTAGTGGAACATACATCAATTAAGTTCTTCATGGAATTCTTTACATATTCTGAAAGTATTGGAATTCAAAAGCAGAAAACTGTGCATCTCTAGCTTGAATACATCGCAGTGGCTCCTGTTTGAGTGTGTATATAGGTGTTGGTAATGAGATTTATGGGATTGAGATGGTAATTAGATGTTGAGTCAGCTCTCACATTGCATTTCCTGCCTGATAAGCAATGCGTGAAGACTGACATCGGTGGATTGTCTCTCTTTTCTCAGTTATCTCTGTTTCTCACCATTCTCTCTCTGTCTTTCACTCTCTGCATCACACGCTCGCTCTTCGCCGACATAGATATGAAAGATCTGACCGAGCTGCCGTGGCCTCCTCCGGTCGGACAGCTGGAGGAGGAGCCCATCTTTGGCGAGCAAGGTGAACTTTGACCCCTCCTCCCCACTGCTGCCCCTCCAGTGTCCTGTATCTGTCGAGCTCGCTGAGTCACTGTTTTGCTGGAAACCTCCCGTTTGCTTCCCATTTGATTTAAATCGCTCCCACTCATGCTGCTCTCATCACAGTAGCATGTGATGACAGCATGGGGTCAGTTCTGTCTTCCAGTTATGTTTTCACTTGGGATGACACCATATTACAATTCTAGCCAATATCAGTGTTGTTATCGTTAGCTAAAACTATTCAAAATCATTTTCGTTAATTGACATAAAGCTGAAGTAAACTGATATAAACGTTATTTGATGAAAGATGAAAGATGAAAATTTTAAACCTAAACAAAAATTAGAACAAGTTGATTTAAAGTTGTAACAATATTACTTAAAATAAAATAAAGCAAAATGTCAATATTTTAAAAATACAAAAGCTAATAAAAATGACAAAAGCAATAAAAATTACTTAAACTTATGCTAAAATTGAAATAAAAACTGAAAATATAAAAATAAAAGCTAATTCCAGATAAGGTGATAATTATTTCCATTTTGTGTCCATTCCATTTTCCATTTCGATCATCAATAAATGGCGGATATTGTCATTCTAAAAGACTAAAAACTAAAATAAATAAATAAATAAAAGGCCTTAACTAATGGGCATTAGGACCCAGGGGAGGCTGTTTCTGCTGCTGTACGCACTATTGACTGTTGACACAATCGTACTACGGACATGTCATTTTGTACTTGCATTCAACGATCCAAAACAGAGAATCTAATCACCATTCAGGCAAAAGTTTGCTTCAAGAATGACCACACTGCTGATGTGATCTAATCGCGTGATAATATCGTGCATCCCTACTAAATGTAAAAACAAGTGAGCATGCAAAATTAAATATCCATCCTAACGATAAATTTACTGATAAATTAAAAAATATTGGCAGATTTAAACGGCAAGACTTGAATTTGGGGTGGCAATGATAATCTAAATGTTACAATGTGAGAAAGGAGCATGTAGAATTAAATGCCTATCTACCGATAAATGTAAAAATATTGGTCAATAACCGATAAGGTGCCGAAAACTTGTGCATCCCTGCTTGATTGATACTTGAGTTTGATTCCACCCCGCCTCTGGATCCACAGGTCTCTTTTCACATTGTTTTTTTGGTTCTGAAACCTGGTATGTTTGCGTTATAAATGTGCCACCTTAATTTCCTACAACCCTCTATTGTTACTCCTTGCTGTTTTGGTTTGGACTCCTCCTGTTCTGCAATACAAGTATTGTTAACTGTCCTAACCAGGCATGATGTGACTCATATACACCATTTTCAATTTTGTTATGTTGCAGCCTGATATTACAATTGTTTAAATTCATATTTTTCTTATTAATCTACACTCCGTACCTCATAATGACAAAGTGAAAACAGAATTTTAGAAATGTCTGTAAATGTATTAAAAAGAAAAAACTGAAATATCACATTTACACAAGTATTCGGACCCTTTGCAACAAAACTTGAAATTTTGCTCAGGTGCCTCCCATTTCTCTTTATCATTGCTGAGATGTTTCTACACCTTGATTGGAGTCCACCTACCCCCAATCCAGGTGTGCAAAGCTTGTTGCGTCATACCCAAAAAGACTCGAGGCTGTAAATGCTGCCAAAAGTGCTTTAACTAAGTACTGAGTACTTATGTAAATGTGATATTTCAGTTTTTTCTTTTTAATAAATTTACAGACATTTCTAAAATTCTGTTTTCACTTTGTAATTATGAGGTACGGAGTGTAGCTTAATGAGAAAAATGTAACAAAATTGATAAAAGTGAAGGTGGTCTGAATACTTCCTGAATGCACTGTATCTGATGTTATCGGATGTATGAAACAGGCTTTTCGACCAGTGACATTTCACGATAGGTGGTTCAACTCAGTGCAACAAGACAGAAACCACTTTGTCAACTGCATTCACATTTTGCCACATAACCATCATGGGAACTCTAAATCTGTGATAATCATGAACGAGTTTTATTGTTTTGTCATGTCATTCCTGGTTACTATGCAATGTTATAAAACTGACAAACTTTTTCAATCACTTTTCTACTGCTCTTTGACATTGAATTAAGTCATTTTCTCTCACTGTGCCCATGCAGTGCAGTTTGAGGGTGCTGAGTGGGACCATTCCTGTTCTCCTACAGAGCGCCTGAGGTGTCCCAGGCCTCCACCAACCACAGGCAGCATGAAGCTACGCAAGCCCAGCGATCCTCATTCAATGATCGGCGAGAGAGTGGATCCCACCCTGCCCCTGGAGAAACAAGTGTACGTCCAACACGCACCACAAACCATTAGAGGTTTGAAGAAAAAATTAAGAGAGGAACAGAGACAGCTAAGCTAAAAATGCCACAATTAGAATGCTATCCCATAATGCATCTTGTGGCCGCTACATTGAAATTCTGTCATCGGTTACTCACCCTCATGTCGTTCCAAACCTGAATGTACGTATTTTCCTCTGTGGAAGATATTTCGAAGAATGCCGCAATGGTACAATGAAAGTCAATGGGGTCCAAAACATCAAGACATTTTTTTCTTTTGGTTTCCACAGAGAAAATAAAAAGTCATACAGGTTTGGAACGACATGAGGGTGAGTAACTGGTGACAGAATTAGCATTTTTGACATTTTCAAGGCACTTGATGGTCTCAGTGTGACGTCTCGCGCCTGTGGGAACATCAACCTAGTGTGTTATTGTTTTATGGCTATGAGAATATGATTAATGTGGGCGGTGTGCAGACTTGGGCCATTAGAAAGTGCAGTCAAGTGCATCCAAAATATTGCTGCAAATTAGTCAGCTGTTCAGGATACAGAATTCCCCAGACATATCAGATGGCAGCTGGGGTCTCATAGGAAAACATGCCACAAACACACACGCTCATTTTACAGGTGTCATATTCAACACATTTGAAGTATGATTAAACAGTTGATTTAGTTTTCTAAGGAACATTTTCTATCCTCTTTGACCCTTAGAATTAAATGAGCTGTTTTTGTTACTGTACCTTTAAGACTTCTATATGTTAATGACTTATCTTATGATTTGCTGACCTCTTTGTGTGCATGCTGTCTTTCAGATGGTATCACGGCGCTCTCTCGCGCTCAGAGGCCGAGTCTCTGCTGACCCTCTGTAAGGAGTGCAGTTATTTGGTACGAAACAGCGAGACCAGTCGCTTGGACTACTCTCTCTCTCTGAGGTACAGCGCTGCACCTCTTCCTCCATCAGCCACAGCAACATTTTATTTCTCCATTCCTTCCATTACCGTTAAATGAAGTGAGCAAATCTCATCCCCATTACCCCATTTCAGCTAATTGCCTTGTGTTTTGCTTCATTTGTGTCTAGTTGTCTGTATCTTAGTTGTTTTTGTTCTTCATTCTTACCTACAACAAGAATTGTTTAAAAAAAAGAAAATATTGCTAATATAATGTAATATAATGTTTTTAATTTTATTGTGCATTTCATATGTATATCTTACATTATTTCCTTAATTTTGTATAATAATATATTAATATTTTCAATATATTTTTACATTTGTTTACTTGTGTATATACCTTACATTTATTTCTTAAAATTATAAAATTATAAATATAATAATTATATTTTTCAATTGTGTATTTTATAAATATATGCTGTACATTTATATATAATATATAATGTGTTGTTATATTAAATGTAATTATATTTTGCATTATACATATCTGTATCTTACATTTATTTCTATTTCTATTTTATAATATATAATAAATATATACTTACATTTATTTCCTTCATTTTTATAATTTATTTTACCACACTTTTTATTGAAATAGGCACACCCAAGTCTCAAGATTGTGTTTTAAGCATTTTTAATTGTTTTAAACAATAGCTATGGTAATATAGTAAAAACATTACATTAACATTATAATGTTTTATGTGATATATTTAATATGTTGCTATTAATGGTTGATTTGCTATTAATAATTGCCTATTTTGGCCACCACAACAATGTGGAGACTTACCTGCTGTCATGTGACATTTTATAGTGCGTGTTGGACAGCATTACTTAAATTATCAATTTGATTTCACTGTTTGATCTCATATTTGCTCTTCTATTGTTTTACCGTGTTATCATACTGAACATTTTCTTCTAATTGTGTTTTTGATTGAATTTTCTCCCTTGCCTCTTTGGACAGAACGGCCCCGTCTCATTTGCACACTGATGTGCTTTCCGATAGGCTATCAGCTCGAGCGATAGTGCTTATCTGGTCAAATCTCGCAGCTCTAATTACCGCCTTGATCCAGAACCCCTGATCCCCCTCCTCTTTTATTCTCCCCGAGCTGTAATCAGGCAGGTGAACAGCTCTTCAGTTCACAAAGCTTTAATGAATATGAATGACCTGCTGAAAGGCTTTCGCACACCTGAACACACTCAGTAATCACACACACCTAGTATTGCGAGCACACTTCATAAGTCACAGGCAAAAACACTCCAGAACACGTTCAGCAACATGCTGAGACTTTGTTCACATGAATCAGATTTTTACAAGCTCGATTCAAAACGCATTCGTACGACAAAAGAATGAATGAACGGCGCTGTCTGATGAGATATCGTGGGCCATCTACAGCCTCAGAGGCCTGATCCAAATCAAAGTGACAGCGGCTCAACGTGGAGAGCTTTGAACGAGCCGCCATTGAGATTCACAGGCTTTATTTTGAGCCCAGATTTTTCTATAAGTGACTCTGTTCGTCACCTGGCAGATAATACCTTGTTAGAGACGACAAACACGTCAAGTCTCGAATTTGAACGCACTGCTTGATTTTGAAAGGGGCGAGAGAGATGTTCTCAGCCTCCATGGGTTTTCATTCACACTTATTAAGGTGAATGGTATATAGTACAGTATGACAGCTTCAAACTAACAAATGACTTCCTGTTTCTATACATAGAAATCCAGCCTTTTGGGCTGAGCCGTCTTAAAGGGGAGGTCGAAAATAATATTCACACCAAACTGTGCTGAAGTTATGATATTCTTTTACACCATCACTCAGATTGTCCTATTTATCGCCGGTAATCTTTTGTTCACCGCTGACCCAAATACCAGATTCACAACCCCACCTAGGGATCAGGTTATATTAAAGCTGTCGAGTCATGATAAAATGATCGGAATTTATCTGTGGTTAGTTTGCTGCCATCTCTATTGCAGATCTATATTTAAAAAAAAAGAAAAAAAGTACTATGATTCAAAGGCACTGTTTGATTACCATATTTATATACAATGGTCCTGTAAAGTACACTGTAAAAAATAAATCCGTAAAATAACAGGAAAAAGTTCTGGCAGCTCACGGACATTTCTGTTAACTCTAAAACACAATTCAATGAAGTGTGAAATTCAAAATACAACTGTAAAACATAATTCCTTCAAATTATACAGTATATTGTGCCCTATTTTTACAGATTTTTTTTAGTGTACATTTAAAAAAAAAAAACAATATTGGCATGGTATCAAAGTAGATCAGAGCAAAGTATTTTTATTGAATTTATTTGGGGGGAAATACTTTTTTCGGGTTTATTTATTTCATTGAACAAAGTATTTTTTAATTTTCATGTCATTATATTTTGTGGAAAGTATTTATTTGATTATCCAGGCTCATTGTTTTAGCATTTCATAGCACAGAGCAAAGTATTTTTATTATTATTATTATTATTATTAACTTTATTTTATTTTGGGTAAACATTTGTTTGATTTTCAGCCATATTTAATTTGTGCATTTTATAAAACAGGTTAAAGTATTTTTCGTTTCGTTTTGTGTTTTGTGCTTGTTTTTTGTGTTCCGTTTTTGTAAAATACTTTTTAAAATACCACAGTACTGGCATGGTATTGCAGCATTAAAAAAAAAATCCTTGTATTACCATGATTTATTTGGTAAGGTAATACCTTGGTTTTTTAAATAGAACAAATTATTTTTTATTTTATTGTGGGAAATAATTTTTCCAGGTTTATTATTTATTTCATAGAAAAGTTTTTTTTTTTTTGTCTTTTTTTTTTCAGGCTTACAGAGTACAGTTATGCTCACTATTAACTAGTTGCTTATTAGCATGCCTATTATTAACATATTGGCTGTTTATTAGTACTTATAAAACACATATTCTGCATGACAATATTCTACATCCCTAATCCTACCTAAACTTCACTAACTAATTAACTTAACTACCTTACTAACTATTAATAAGCAGTAAATTAGGAGTTTATTGAGGCAAAAATTCATAGTTAAGGTTTGTTAATGGTGAGAATTGGACCTTAAAATAAAGTGTGACCACAGTTTTTTTGGGGGAAAGCATTTATTTGGTTTTCAGGCATAATTAATTTGTGAGTTTTACAGAAGTGATTAAAATCTGTTTTGTTTTTTGGAAAGCATTTTCCAGCTTATGTTGTTGCCCAACATGCCTGAAGATTAATGGCAGTGTTGCATGTTCTTTTTCAGGAGCTGCCAGGGATTCATGCACATGAAGTTCAGCCAGTCCAAAGACGGCCGCTATATCCTGGGCCAGAACAGCCCTCCATTCGACACCATCCCTGAAGTGATCCACTATTACACCACACACAAACTCCCCATCAAAGGAGCCGAACACTTGTCCTTGCTCTTCCCTGTGCTGGTTCAGACTCTCTGATTGGTCAGAGCACTGCAGTCCTCAGTGCTATGGGTGGAAACGTTTTCAACTAAATCAGCAACAACTTACACAAACTTTTTGGTCCCTCGTGTTTTTAATTGTACAACAGCATCTGGACATGAACTTCTAGAATGGACATGTCAGATCAAATTACAGTTAGATCTGTTCACATGCTATTTCACGTTCTTGTTAATAACACATTTCCATCTCGCCAAATGACCCTCCTGTGAACCGTACCAGACTGGTGGCAGCGAGACCTGTTGCTCGTCTTCGGTCGGTGTTATTCTCCGCTGGGACGGTGGTTTAGCCACCGCTAATGTTTATTGATCGATTAGCAGCCTCTTAGGATGAGTGGACTGGCCTCTGTATTTTTATAGCTGCTGTAAAAGACACTTCAACACAGCTGTTTATGACTCTCTGCTCTTTAAAGTTTGTAAAGCCTTTTGGTTGTAGTAAAGGCCCTTGAGACCACACATAAATGTTTGGTCTACTCAAGACAGTAGTCCTCAGAAAGCACTTTGAATTCTTACATTGTCTTTGTTAGAGTTTGTCACTGTGGCTGGTCGTAGATCAGTGCATGTTGGCAACTTATGTTGAGGACAGTAGCTGATTCTAACTGATAAAAAAATCAATGATGTGATGTTTGAATCATGATCATTTGCAGAGATGTTCCTGTAATTGGTATATTAGGTCACCGATACAGAAAAATGCTGAAAATGTGTTTCTGTAGCTGCTGTTTTAACTGATTTACATGTGTTATATAATAAACTTTCTAAAGAGAGTGCTAGTTGTTAACAACTGTTGCTTCAAACTGCATTTCATGTCAGTTGCTGACAATTTGAGATATAAACTAAATTTTTATTTATTAATTTTTACGCTTTTCATCGAAAAACAATCTTGAGGTTAGGGTGTTCCAGATGGTTGCTAGTAGGTTCTGAGTGGATGATAGGATGTTCTAGGCAGTTGCTAAAGTGTTCTGCGTGGTTGGCTGGTTCCTAGGGAGTTATAGGTGATTGCTAGGGTGTTTTAGGTGGTTTCTAGGGGTGTTTTGGGTGGCCACTAGAGAGTTCTGTATGATTGGGTGGTTGCTAGGGAGTTATAAGTGATTTGTAGGTAGGGCTGCCCCCTAATAGTCAACTAGCCATTAGTCGATGAAAAGAGGCTTTGTTGATCAACATTTCATTAGTTGCCTAGTTGCATAAAAAAAGAAATCACAGAAAGTGGCGTAGTCCTTGACGGACAGATCATTAACAGCTGGTCTCTGTGGTAATTACAGTACATCAGTCAGGACATGTAAACGTTCATTTTTTTCATCGACCAAACGTGGCTTATCATCAAAAACATGTAAGTAGCAGCAACATTACATGGCCGCTCGCACTAACGTTAACCTAGAAAAATGTGCGCTATTGAAGTGTTCGTGCGGAATGTGGAAGCTGAACAGTAGCGCGCTCACTGCATGACAGTTAACTTGGAGGCACCGGTGCAATCATTTGCATTGAACTTAAAATACTCCATCATTTTTGCTCATACAGATAAGAGTAATACATCTTTCGAATCTGTGAAAGGTCTACTTTTATTTGTGTGCACTCAAAATAACAAGAAAACGTGCTTTCTGCCATCTAGGTCTGGAGCCGAAGAACCGAAACTCCATGTATAATTGCTTTAGACATGAAAAATATATCTATAGAAGATATCTACCTTTAAATTAACCAATTCAAATGGAAAACAAATATTTTCAGATTATGTTATCCATATGAAATGTGAACGTCCACTGTGGAGATGACAGTGTCGTCGACTTCATCACTGTAGCCCGAAATTCAGAAAACACTTACCAATGAATTATTATAATGTTAAGATAGTCTTCTTGCTGTTTTTTTTTTTTCCTGATGCATTCATAATCATTACTTCTGCCGGTGCACTGTGGCAGGCTTTATGCGAGAATGTTCTAGGTGGTTGTTAAGGTGTTCTCTGTGGCCACTTGGGAATTCTGGGTCGTTGGGCTGTTGCTAAGTTCTAAGTTATTGCTAGGATGTTCTTAGTGCCCACTAGAGTGTTCTAGGTAGTTGGGTGTTTGCTATGGGGTCCTAGGTGGTTCCTGCAATGTTCTGAATAGTTGTTAGTGTGTTCTAGGTGGATTTGAGGAAATTCTGGGTAGTTGGGTGCTTGTTAGGGAGTTCTAGGTGGATGCTAAGGTGTTTAGGGTGGTTGCTAGGTTGTTGCATAGTGGTCTAAGCCAAAAAAGAGCCTACCTCCTAGTCTCCATAATGTTTCTATCAGACAATCAAAAGTTTAATCACTTAAAGAGTAAGTTCACCCAAAAATGAACATTCTGTCATTAATTACACACCCACGTCATTCCAAACCTGTAAGACTTAGCTCATCTTCAGAACACAAATGAAGGTATTTTTGATCAAATCTGAGAGCTTTCTGGCCTTCCATAGACAGCAACGCAACTGACACGTTCAAGGCCCAGAATGGTAGTAAGGACATCTTTAAAATCATCCATGTGACATCAGTGGTTCAGCCGTAATTTTATGAAGCTACGAGAATACTTTTTGTGTGCAAAGAAAACAAAAATAACGACTTAATTCAACAATATCTTATCTTCCATGTCATGTTTGATGCACATTCACGACAACACCACGACGCATGTGTGTGCATTCGTCTGCTTGCAAACAAGCCGCAAAGCCTCTGGGTTCTGTCAGAACGCCGGCTCCTGCGTCAGCAGCACCAAATGCATGCGTGGTACTCTCGTGAACGTGCGTCGAAGACTGACATAATAGAGAAGAAATTGTTGAATAAAGTCATTATTTATTCAAAAAGGCATTATTATAATACAAAAAGTATTCTCGTAGCTTCATAACATTATGGTTGAACCACTGATGTCACATGGACTGTATTAACAATGTCCTTACTACCTTTCTGGGCCTTGAACGTGTCAGTTGCATTGCTGTCTATGCAGGGTCAGAAAGCTCTCGGATTTCATCAAAAATATCTTAATTGTTCTGAAGATGAACAAAGGTCTTGTTCATTTGGAATGACATCAGGGTGAGTAACCAATGACAGAAATTTCATTTTTGGGTGAACTAACCCTTTAAAGTAACCGACAGGTAGTAACCACAGATTATGCAAATACTTAAACCTTAGTGTATGAGCTACGACACTGATATTGTAGCAAGCACCAGTAGTCAATTTAATTGCTGTAGCTTGCCATGCATATTACTTTAATAGCTTCACATTGTTTATTATCAAGAGACAAAAAAGATGCTGTTGAGATTGACAGAAAGATGCGTTAATGGCCCTACACACGTTTTTTTTTTATCCTGGGAGCATGTGCCACGCACGAAAAGATTGCAAAGACTGATTGTTAAGCACGATTGTGAACTTTTTGCTTTTCCCATTGTGGCCCACCAAAGACCGTCTTCCTAAATCACGCAGTGATGTTTGTGTGTTCATGTGTGTGTGCTTCCTCATTATCTCTGTTCTGCCGAAGCGAAGCGTTCTGGGATTGCTTTCATTACACTGCCAAATGAAACGGCGGAGAATGATTACTGGTGTGACGGGCGGGGAAGGTGGTTCAGATCAGTCCTCGTCCCTCCATCTTCGGTACGGAAGATGGTGAGATAAAACGGGGGGAAATTAAGGGTTGTTTGCAAGCACATTTTTGGCACTTTTTTAATGCAATAACATTTTGGTGTGCTTCGAGATGTCTATCACAATTTAGGTTATGCCTCACTATTGTGCATGTGTGCATATTTGGCAGCACATAATAATCTATCAGATGCGCTCACTGAAAAAGACACCTGCGATCAGAGCAGAGCCAGGAATAATTTCACACTCAAACCACACCAATCTCAATCAAGCCCAAAAACGTATGATCCTAAAGCGGATGGCATCCAATGCTAGTGGCTTCTGTGTTGGCTACTTGTTCCGATTGTTCCCAGCTGCTCTGACACACATCCAGGCATGTCCACATGTGCGTCTCGAGCGCCTCGTATCACATTGTCCGAGACAGACACTCTGTCTCGCTCAGACATTCCACAAACAGGCGCACACTCAGTCTTGGAGGGAAAGCCGTTTCGACAGGTGTGTCTGCTAGACTGTAACCAGAGATCGGTCAAAATTTAAACAGCTGAAAGGAGGATCTCCTCTACTGTGTCAATACCTCAAAAGCCCTACGACGTCTTCCTCACAATGAGCGCCGCACTAATTCCTCTGGTAATTAGGCTCTTACTAGTCATGGAATAATTAGGCCTTACAAAGAGAGGCATTTCTTAGCCGCAAGCTCAGACAAAAGCCGAGCAGTGAAAAGGGGGCCCAGATGTGCACCGAAGGGTGGAAAAAATCAATGGCATTCGCAAAAGCTGCTGTCATTATTGTGTTACCGGCACTCGAGCGACGTGTCATCTGGATTTCATTACGGTGAGGACTGGCAACTTATACCATCTATTAATTTACTGACATCTGACCTTTGAACTCTCCTCCCACCCTTGTGGGCAGCTAGACTAGATAAAGACCTCATCCTGGAGAGCTTATCTCCTAAAGCCCAGTCAGATGCCGTTCGCATAAGGAGCAGCTGAAGGCTATTGTTATGGATTGAAAAAGACTGGGATCTGGGGGAGGATTGAATGTATCCTCAGCTCTACTTCAGAGGTTAAGGACAGATCATCCCCAGAATTCCAGGTCTCAGGATAGTAATTCAGGTGTTCGTGTGATGTGATTAAGCCAAGCAGGAATGTTCCTGGTTCAATATCCTTGGTCTTGAGACAAGATTCTTATCAAATAATTACAGGCCAAACCCTATGCCTAACCTAAACTTACACCTAAAATCAAAGGGGCAATGATTCTTGTGAACTCTAGACATTTAATCAGGTCATACAAGCTATACGCCTTAGGATCTCACTGTGGCAAATTACATTTACTTAACCCTGCAGCCCTCTACGAACACCTTGGCAATTGAATCGCCATTGGCTAGTACATTTTTTTGTTTACTCGCCAGACTGATAAATATATACATACACATATACATATATACACACATATACACACACACATACATACACACACACACATACATATACACATATATCTGAGCTAAACTTATACTTAGCCTCCAACTCACACACTGGCGAGTCAAATCTGAGAATTTATTAGCAATTGGCAAATATTAGACATAATTTAGTCGCCAGAGTGAAGATTTAGTCACATATGCGAGTGATTTACTCGCAATGTAGAGGGTTGTCCTGTCCACAAATTTGCAAGTACTGTGTCTTTAGCTCTAGGGCAGGGGTGGGCAAACTTGGCCCTTCCAAGTCACTTTCCTTCAGTGTTCAACGCATCACCGTTTCCGTTTAAAAAACGTTTTGCACCGTTTTTGTTGGGGCTGAACGCAGCCCAGGTATAGGTATTTAAAGAGAGAAGGCTGTTCTAAAGCTTAAACCAGGGGTGGGCAAACTTGGCCCTCCCAGGCCACTTTCCTTCAGAGTTTAGCTCCAACTCTAATCAAACACACCTGAACCAGCTAATCATTGTCTTCAAAACTACTAGAAAGCTACAGGCAGGTGAGTTTTATCAGGGTTGGATCAAATCTCTGCAGGAAAGTGGCCTGGAAGGGCCAAGTTTGCCCATCACTGCTCTAGGGTGTCCAACTTTGCTCCTGGAGGGACACCATCTTGTGAAATTTAGCTCCACCATACATGCCTGGGAGTTTCCAGCGATCCTGAAGTCCTT